CTGATAGGCCTACCCAGTCTCTCAGCCTCTCCAATAGCAGATGATGGTCAACAGTGTCAAAGGCCACAGTCAGGTCCAGTAGGACCAGAACAAAACAGTCCCCTGCATCACTGTGAGTCAGAAGGTCATAAGAGACCCTAAGAAGAGCTGTTTCAGCAGAATGAGCTCTACGAAAACCTGACTGGAAGCTATCATAGATGTTATGTTCATCAAGAGCAGCTGTGAGTTGTTTAGCCACAACCTTTTCCAAGATCTTGGAGATGACCGGAAGTTTAGAGATGGGTCTGAAGCTGCTATGGAGAGAAGGAACAAGACTCAGCTTTTATGAAGCGAGTGGATTACAGAGCAAACGCTGGCTGCATTATTCTTCTCTGCCCAAAACAAACAAACAAACGAAAAAATAAATAAAAACCAGACACAACGTTGCTGCGTCTGGGTTTTCTGACAGTGAATATTTGTGAGATTGTGAAATCCTTGCTGTCCAGAAACAGAAGTGAGCCGGAGGATCAGCTGCAGCATCACTCACGCAGATGTGGTTTAGATACAGGAAACAAAAATGTGCTGACAGGTTAGTCTCAGCTGGCTGTTTCTGTTTCATGGATGTTGTGTTAATGAAGGTGTCTGAAATCTCGACTGGTTACAAGGGGTCATCTACGTGTAGGTGACCATTAGAACAGTGAAATCACATGACATAAATGATGCAGGGTGTTACTGGTTCTGTCCTACATCCTGGAGCTCCAGCTGACCCGAAACAATACGAATAATCAGCAACATGGTGATGTTTACCAGTTGTGTCATTTGAGTTGTCATTGTACTCCTCCAGCCTTCAGGAGCTGCTGGTGCTAAGTGGACTTCCTGTTTCCCTGAGGCGACAAGCCAGCAGACCTTTTTTCAGTCATGTCATCAGTGACTCCCATGCTTTTTGTGTGGAACTAGCATGTTCTCCCTGTGCATTGATCACTTTTCTCCTGCAGATGAAAACAATGCATTGTGCATAACTCATGAGTCGCTTTGGATAAAAACATCTACAAAACACAGAAAGAGAAACAAATGGTCCTGTGATGCTGTTCAGTTAATCGTGACGCGCTCTGTTCTGTTATTCTAACTGCACAGCATCATAATGTTCTCCAAACCTGTAACAGCTCAGCTAAGTTCTAATGGATGTTTTTGTATATGCTGTTTTTTGTGCTCCTGTCATAGTGGAATAAAGAGTTATCTTTTGTTTGGTAGGAATTGTGCAAGACTACAGAAAGTAATCCTGTAAAGTAAAAAAAAAAGTATTTCAGAGATTAAATGTTTAATTTTTTACTTTCTATACATTTTTGCTCAAATTAAAGTCGTAATTATGCATTTGAAAATAAACCTACATTACCTATTTTAACAAATGGAATTAAATAATGATAAATCAAATATTTCTGCATGTTTAGTTTAAAAGTAAAGGTTGTCAGTAGACTTTTTTTTGTGAGCGACTGTGACACAGGAGTTAATTGCTCGCCCCGTAATCGGAAGGTTGGAGGTTCGAGGCCAAGCCTGTCACTGTTGTTGTGTCCTTGGGCAAGACATTAACCCCCCTTGCCTGCTGGTGGTGGTCAGAGGGACCGGTGGCGCCAGTGCTTGGCAGCCTCGCCTCTGTCAGTGCACCCCAGGGCAGCTGTGGCTACATCGTAGCTCATCCCCACCAGTGTGTGAATGACTGATTCTGTTGTTAAAGTGCTTTGAGGGGTTCCAGGACTCTTGAAGGCCATTTATCATTTTTAAATGAAATAAAAAACATGTTAAAATGTGTTTTCCTTGGTTGCAGAAATCCCTGTTCTGTGAATAAAAGTCGTCAACATTTCTCATTCTACATGACCTTGTCTATACACGAATCCAGGTTTGCTGCATCAGCATCCAATAGTGTGCAACCAGTGTGTGTGTGTTGGCGGTGGGGGGTGTTTGGGGGTGGGTGGGTGGGTGGGTGTGGGGGGGGGGGGGGGGGGGCTGGGCCATCACAGCCTCTCCACAGCTCACTTCTATTAAAGAAAAAGAAAATTTCAATTATAGCAGCAGTCTGCAGGAAAACACACACACACGCACACGCACACGCACACACACACACACTTGATGATGATGCAGGTATTCTGGCTGAGAACGATTTTTTTTTCTGGCTGCAAGCAATTGCAGGTTTCATATCCACAGCTCCCCCAGGCACCTGCTGCACTCGTATCAAACGTTTTTCATCTTTTGAGCAACAAGTTTCTTCAAACTGAATCTGGAGCAGACATAAATGTATCTTATCATCTAAACTTTAAGGAGAATAATTGTGGTTTTGCTGGTTGTGCTCACCTCAGTTATTGAATGCATCATCAGACACGTGAACGTGAAAAGTCTCATCTCAGATCATTTACCTCTCATCTTCCTCCTTTATGGGCCACATTTGCACGTGTCTGCAGAAAACAACAAGTGTGACTAATTTTTATGGGACACCTGATATCTGCTATCACAGGAATGGAGGATAATCTGTGCTGGCCTGACTAAAGGAGCGCATCTTCAGGAGGGCATGGCTTCATTTTCCAGTCATTCACGGAGCCATGTCCTCATGCGGATGATCCACGTGAGATTATAATCATTTTTTATGTGAAGGCAGGAAAAAAACAACTCATATCAGCTAACAGTGACGTCTGTAGCCATAAAAGGCTCCAGACTCAACCTTGAAGCAGCCAAACTGAGTGCAAATGTACTGACATATCTGATGCATCAGAGGAAGGAGGCTATCAGTAACAATCTAATTTATTACCCCATAAAAGAGATTGTGTTACATATCTATAGTCCAATAAATATAAGCAATATTTGTTAGTTTACTGTAGTCAAGGAACTCACGTGAGATCACGTTCAGGATTTCTGCTTTAATCTCACAAATGTAAACAATCCACTTAGATTTTTCAAATTCACAGTATTATTGCAGTTTAATTGTGATCTTATCAGAGTGTAAATTAAACCTTTATATGTTTGTGATGCCATCTCTATGGTTCCCCCTCTTTTATCACCCTGTTTGCAACACAAAGCAGAGCTCCCTACAAGACGAGCACAGGCTAACAGAAACAAGCTCATCAGGCAGGCTGAATGTTTGCAGGAGAAATATGGGATTGTGTACAGTTTCCAACAGTGAGGATCAAAACAAAGTGCTTATAAATTCAACGACAAACTGTAGATTCATCTTCTAATTTCATCTGCTTTCAAAATTTACCAAAATCACTTGAACGTAAGATTAAACATACCTCTGGCCACATTGGTGGAGAGATTGTTAGGAACAGAGAAACTGAGTCATATCTGAAGTGGACTCTTGGTGTTTTTGTTTACTTATTGTAAGTGCAGCTGAATATTGACCTGCACTTGTATAGCGCCTCTCAGAAAAAGGACTCCAAAGCGCTTTACACTACAGTGTATCATTCATCCATTCACACACACATTCACACACTGAATACATAAGCAGCTCGCCGATCAGCTGACAGGAAATGACACATAACCGCTCAGAATTGTCTAAATGTGACATAAAAACACAATACGTCCCCGTTTTGTATCTGTCCTGTACAACCGCTTGCTGGAGTGTTCATTGTCCACACAATCAGATGATTCAGCAACACCCATGGCTTTCTTGATCATGTAGGATAAGATTTGTGACACACATGCAGATCTTGACATATTCCCATGTTCTCATCCACAGCTATAAGATGATGTCAGCAGAAGCTCAGTTTTTTTATGCTATGCATTAAGAGTCTAGGCCTACTGTATGTCTTCCTGTTCCTGTTTTTTCTATATAAATCGACTAAAAATTGAAGCTCCTGACTCATATTCTTTTTTCACTTTATTTTTAGCCACGAGGTTTGAGAGTTTTTCTGTAAGTCCCTTCCCTGGGTAAACGGAACCGGGCCGAACCAAGGGTCCCCCCAGACTGCAGCCAGCGACACAGTCGGCCGATGGCTGACTTTCATGGCCGATGTCTAGACGTTTTCACATAAATTTCATGCTAAAATGTCACTAATAACATCAGTTGATGCACAACATTTCAGAAGCTGAATCAGTTTTTGAACTTTGAATTTAACTGTTAAATGTTAACTTTGTGCACTGCTCAGTGTTAAAATCAGACACCTAAATAAAGTTTCAGTATTTGATATGCAGATGTCATTAGTGAACAAAAAAATACATTTAAATTAAATTCTGCAACAGCACCTGTACTCGGCTGTACTAAGGAAAAATATCGGCCAGCTGAATTATAAAAAGCGCTAAACATTGGCCTGATATATCGGCCTCTAGTTCTGACATGAAAGAGGGTGATTTGCATGAGACTACACACACATCTGGATTAACACTGATTGGGTTTGCTAAAAAATGTAATAAATACAAAAACTGGATTGCAGTAAGGTTCTTGAGAATTTCACCACATTGGATTAATAATAACCAGAAAGAAAAATGTCAGAGTCAGACTCATGGGTTAACAAACATCTGGATGTGTTTCTGCCTGTCATATGTTAACTATTAACACCAAGTTTAAACTGTGTTCGACTAAACAACACTAAACATTTCTGCAATGACTTTCAAAATAAAACCGGACCTGTTTTCGTTGTCCCTGTTTGATCCCAGTGTGTCAGAATGACCAAGGGTTAGGGTTAGGGAGAGGAAGGACCTAAACTAAATGAATCTTGTGTTAGATCAGCTCTCTGGCTCTTTTTTCAAGGACTCCAGCTGAAGTAGACAGCACTGTGGGATGAAAAACTGTGTAGTTTACTCAATAGTAATGGGAAAAAGCATCACTTTCCAGAAAAACAAGTTCCTAGTATATCTGTTGGAAGATTTTATTGTAATTTGATGCTCATAATTCTCCCTGGAGGTGAGCCTTTGGCACACATGCTCCTTTCATCCCTCCCTCTCTTTTTTCTTTGTAAACTCACCCCCACCCCCTCCCTTCGTGGTCTCCAAGCTGGGGATGGGAGCTGAGAGTGAAATATGTGGATTTCCTCCTAGACACTCCACGGTGCAGCTTTACTGAGGAGCCTTCACTCTGCTGGACACATTTATTTATCCAAGCGCACAGATCTAACAGTGTTTTCCCCCCTGCTCAGCAAAGCGAGCTTCTAGCTTTTCACACCACTTGTTGATGATGTGCTTCAGAAAAAGGGTCCATGTGGATTTTATTTTTATTTTGGGCGATAATTGACCTCACCTGGTGCGCCCGATTGCGCCAGTCTGCTCCACCTCTCCTCGGTGAGCTGCTGCTGGTGGAAAAACTGCTATAAAGAGGTCATTTTAAAGTGGGTTGGGTTAAACTGGCACTTTAAAAGAAGCGCTTGTTGCTTTCTGAGCATTTCAGCAGCAGCCGCCGCCAGGTTGGGAGAAAAGACGCACCGGTTGGAGAAGTGGATACGGCGGCTCGTTTGTAGGATTTGAACCCTTTTCTTCTCCTCAACCCTTGTTAAGTTTCAGCCAGCCATGGGTGGAGGTGGTGTGGACAGGTTAGTAAAATCTCTGCTGCTGCTTCTGCCAGTGCTGCTGCGCTGTGAAGCACTGCCAGAGAGCTGGCAGCCTGGAAACTACATCAACAGCACGGCCGACGCGCAGAGGTTCCTCAGAGATTACAACAGCACTGCTGAGGAGGTGTTCTTCCTCAGTGTGTTAGCCAGCTGGAACTACAACACAAACCTAACGGAACACAACTCCAAGCTCCAGGTAGGGACTCCTCCTGTCGCAACTCCTCCGTATCTAGTTGGGGGCATTTATCACCAGATCTCCGGCATGGGTAAAGTCGTCTAGAGCTGCTTGACTTAAACAAGCGTTATTCAACTTCATTCATCCCCCAGATATTGAAGTACCCTCTTGACACAGCCAACCAGGAACGTAACTAGTATTGTAAGACATGGAGAACGTAGCCCCCAGGATTTGAGGAAAGAATTATTGCAAATTGAAGGCTGAACATTTGATTTTTTTAATGAAACCTGACAAATGATTTCATGAACAGCAATGATTGTCTGACTGCACTTCACTGACACGTGTGGATGATCCCTTGCATTTATTTTTCTGAACATGTTTTTCTTTATACACCATACAGAGTGAGAGAATTAATCATACAGCATGATAATTACTATGCTTTCAGGGGTACTTGGGATAATAAGGGGGCAGATATTGGGTCTTGTGTACTGGATGATGAAGCAAAATGAACAATGTTAAAGTTTAATTAAAACCTAAAATTTAAAACCTTTATGTAAAAGTTGGGTGTTAAGCTAAAGCCTGATTTATACATCTTCCTTTTCTGCGCCGGTGTGGAGACATGCAACGTCATGCGTTGATGCAGAGCTCTCCAACAGGTTCACAGAGGGTGATGGAGACATGCCCAAATTTGTAAATATTTATCGAAAGTGACCGCAAGTTTGATTGGTCAGGACCCCTCTTCCTGTAAATTTGTAAACCACACCACCATTGCCCCCTCAAAACAGAACTGGGGGTCTTTAAAGTTATTATACTAAAAAATGTATAAAACTACAGCCTGGAGGCTCTTTATTGCCCTGTCAGTTACGCAGAACTGCCAATTACAAAAGTGACAAGAATGGCCAATCACACATTGGCAAGTATCAGCAGAGCCAATAGATGAGCTTATGACCGGTTCTAATGGAGAAACAAGCTTCAGCACAAGTGGTTGTTTTCCGCTTGGTCCTAGTGCTCAACCAATGTCTAATTAACCCTTAAGGACCTGTGGTGACACTGGTGTAACAACCCACTTCAAACATCTGCAAAATAGCTTCTTGAGTCAAACATGCAAGTTTGAAAATCCAAAGTGGCTTTCTATCAATACATAAATAAAAAATAATTTGTCTTTATTATACTGAAATAGTTTTTCTACATTTTGATGTATTAAGTCTAATATGATTTCTAATTCAAAAGGGTTTGGGTTTTAAAAGGTTAATATAGCATAATCTTTTTGGATAGTAAAAAGTGCAGGGTATAGAAATAGACGTTGGAAAAAAAAACTATGTACACGGACAAATGCCTTGCGGAACAAGTCTAAAATATGAACGATTATACACCTGTGACTGAAGGAGTACAAAAACACATAGCAAACATTTTATTTGTGGATGGAAATGAGGAGAAATGTGAGCAAGATTTAGAGGTGGCGATTACATGAAGAGGTGGAGAATGAAGGACAAATTCATCAATGTTATAAAATCTCATAAATATATAATGCAATACACCATCGGAGACCGCATACACGAGCGTAATGGTGGCATTATGCCGCAGAAAAGTTCTACACCCTCTGTTTGATGGGAATTGCTCTGCAGCATACCATATTTGTATGTTTTCCCTACAGTATTTTTTTACTTTTTAACATAATTGGATATTGTCTCAACCTGGACGTATACATTTGCATACATTGGTATAGAACCTACTCCATTTAAACACACAGAGGAGCATAAGTTATTATAGAAACTGGAATCTGCCTATTTCAGATGGGTTTCGGATTGATCTTTTCCGTCCAAGGGTTTAGGGAGGGTTGTTTATTGCCAACCAAAGTGGTTTTTCCATGTATGACCAACCAAACCTTTCATTCATTCATAAGATCCTCAAGCCACTGATGTACTTTGATATTTTGTATGCAGGCAAAATAAGTCCAATGTCCAAAAAACTTCAAAGTTGCATTTATTTTTGTGGCTAATGTTTAGATGAGCACAGGATCTTGGAAACATTGAAGTCAAATTTTGTCATTACCTATCACATAATCAGAGCTTTTAAGGGTTTAGAATAATGTCTACAGTACATCTGCAGTCGCTCTGTCCTTGGCCCCCTTTTGTTTATGATCTATCTCCTACCATTGGGAGCAATACTTAGGAAATTCCAATTTCACGCCGGTGATTGTCAGCTCTACCTGCCACGTTGGCAGGGGGTGGGTGGCTCGCTTTCACCACTCCTTGATTGCATGGAGGAAATTAAGTTATGGATGAGCTCCAATTATTTGCACTTAAATGATGGGCACCTTAGGTGCTTGTACAGCCCCTGAGGATGACCTTACTTCAGCTCCCCTTGTGGTGATAGTTGTCACACACCTAGGGGTCAAATTTGATGCTGCTCTCAGGATTGATGCATAAATTTTGAAAGATGATGATAATAATTATACATTTATTAACCCTCCCACTCTCCTAATAGGTGACCCCGTGAGGAAAGTTGACCATTGAGCAGGATTGATCCTTGGGTTCATGTGGTAGGGGTGAGGAGTGAGCACCACCTCACCCCTGCCACATGGACCTCAAGGAATAAACCATCACTCCTGCTCAATGGTCAACTTTCCTCACGGGGTCACCCATTAAGACAGTGAGAGGGTTAAAAGCACCTTTCAGGACTCCCAAGGTCATTTGACAGGAAAAATACATTCAGTAATACACATTAATACAAAAATAAAACACAATGAAGAAAATAACATTGAAAAAAAAAATACTGTTCGAATAAAATCTGAGGTAATAGGCAGATTTGAACAGGTGTGTCTTGAGTCTGGATTTGAGGAGGGTGAATATGTTAATATTTCTGATGTTTGGGGGGAGTGAGTTCCATAAACGGAGAGCAGAGCAGCTGAAAGCCCTAGTCTCCATGCCCATGGTAGTGAGACGGGCAGAAGGAACAGCAAGATGGAGGGAGGACGATGATCCAAGGGAGGGGGTGGAAATACTTGTAAGGTCTGAAATATATGGAGGAGAGGGTTCGTGAATGGCTTTGAAGGTATGGAGGAGAATCTTGAAGATGGTCCTGTCGAGGGCCCATTTAGAAACAGTTTTACATGCATTTGTGTTGTCACATCTTGACTTTTGTAATGCTGGTGTGATCTCAGGTGCACTTGCCCACCTTCAACTTGTCCAGAACTCAGTGGCGAGATTCTTGTCTGGTATTAGGAGGAGGGAGCATATCAGTCCTGTATTGGCCCAACTTCCCTGGCGCCCAGTTGAGGATCGGGTTGTACAGTGGGGCAAAAACGTATTTAGTCAGCCACCGATTGTGCAAGTTCTCCCACTTAAAATGATGACAGAGGTCAATAATTTACATCATAGGTACAGTTCAACTGTGAGAGACCGAATGTGAAAAAAAAAATCCACGAATTCACATGGCAGGATTTTTAAAGAATTTATTTGTAAATCAGGGTGGAAAATGAGTATTTGGTCAATAACAAAAATTCAACTCAATACTTTGTAACATAACCTTTGTTGGCAATAACAGAGGTCAAACGATTACTATAGGTCTTTACCAGGTTTGCACACACAGTAGCTGGTATTTTGGCCCATTCCTCCATGCAGATTTTCTCGAGAGCAGTGATGTTTTGGGGCTGTCGCTGAGCAACACGGACTTTCAAGGGGTTGAGGTCTGGAGACTGGCTAGGTCACTCCAGGACTTTCAAATGCTTCTTACAGAGCCACTCCTTTGTTGCCCAGGCGGTGTGTTTGGGATCATTTTCGTGTTGGAAGACCCAGCCACGTTTCATCTTCAAAGCTCTCACTGATGGAAGGAGGTTTTGGCTCAGAATCTCACAATACATGGCCCCAATCATTCTTTCCTTAACACAGATCAGTCGTCCTGTCTCCTTAGCAGAAAAACAGCCCCAAAGCATGATGTTCCCACCCCCATGCTTCACAGTAGGTATGGTGTTCTTGGGATGCAACTCCGTATTCTTCTTCCTCCAAACACGACGAGTTGAGTTTATACCAAGAAGTTTTACTTTGGTTTCATCTGACCACATGACATTCTCCCAATCCTCTGCTGTATCATCCATGTGCTCTCTGGCAAACTTCAGACGGGCCTGGACATGCACTAGCTTCAGCAGCGGAAAACGTCTGGCACTGCAGGATTTGATTCCCTGCCGTTGTAGTGTGTTACTGATGGTGACTGTCATGTTGCGAGGGTTTGGAGATGATGGACCATGTGTGGTGGAGAGTTCCAGGAGGCAGGAATGCAGGCACGGATAAAGTAAAAATGGGTTTAATGACATGATATGGCAGGAACGAGAACAACACGACAAACAACAATGATCTGACAATGACTGGCACAAGGAGGGAGGTATAAATACACAGGGAAATCAGGAACACATGGGCAAGTTAACGAGGGACAGGTGAAAACAATATGGATCAATCAGGGCAGGAGAGAGACACAGTCAGGAAGGCAGGGGCAGATTGTGACAGTACCCTCCCCTTAAGGGGCGGATACTAGACGCCCAAAAGGCCACACAACACAGGAGACCAGCGAAAACCGGAACACTTGACTTGACTTGCGACAGGAACACTTGACTTGGGACAGGAGGACAAACCGCAACAGCCGGGACCGGACCCTGTGGTAACTGCAGCGTGAAGGACCTGCAGGCACAGACCCCGCAGGCGTGAACAAGGAAGCAAGACGAACAGCAGGAGTGACGCAAGGAAACCAGGAGCGGTAGCTGGTACTCCGCAACAGTCCAGAGCAGGTGCACACCATGACTTGACTGGATCCACCGGCAGAGGCTCGGGTGAAGGGAAGCAGACATGGAGCGGGAAGACCAGCCCTACCACCCCGGAGAACGTTGGCGTGCGTAGGGTGTTTTACCTCCATCAAAAGCTCCGGGAAACGGCAGCTTCCGTGAAAAAACAGGACAGGGCAGAACAGCAGGAGAGGAGGAAAGACCTTGACCACCCCGGAAACTGATAGGATGTGCCAGGATCACCCAGAGGGCTCGACCACCCCGAGAACAGGTAAGATGCGCCGAGAAATACAACTCCAGGCCGTAAACTCCCTCCGCTGAAGGGGGGGGGGGGGGGGGGGGGGGAGAAAGAGAAAAAAGAATCCTCCAGAAAACAGGTGTTAGCTCACCACAGGTCCAGGTTTGGTCAGATCATTCTGTCATGTTGCGAGGGTGTGGAGATGATGGACCATGTGTGGTGGAGAGTTCCAGGAGGCAGGAATGCAGGCACGGATAAAGTAAAAATGGGTTTAATGACAGGATACGGTAGGAACGAGAACAACACGACAAACAACAATGATCTGACAAAGACTGGCACAAGGAGGGAGGTATAAATACACAGGGAAATCAGGAACACATGGGCAAGTTAACGAGGGACAGATGAGAATAATATGGATCAATCAGGGCAGGAGAGAGACATAGTCAGGAAGGCAGGGGCAGATCGTGACAGTGACCTTTGTTACTGTGGTCCCAGCTCTCTGCAGGTCATTCACCAGGTCCCCCCGTGTGGTTCTGGGATTCTTGCTCACCGTTCTCATGATCATTTTGACCCCACGGGATGAGATCTTGCGTGGAGCCCCAGATCGAGGGAGATCATCAGTGGTCTTGTATGTCTTCCATTTTCTGATAATTCCTCCCACAGTTAACTTTTTCACACCAAGCTGCTTGCCTATTGTAGATTCACTCTTCCCAGTCTGGTGCAGGTCTACAATTCTTTTCCTGGTGTCCTTCGAAAGCTCTTTGGTCTTGGCCATAGTGGAGTTTGGAGTATGACTGTTTGAGGCTGTGGACAGGTGTCTTTTATACAGATAATGTGTTCAAACAGGTGCCATTAATACAGGTAATGAGTGGAGGACAGAAAAGCTTCTTAAAGAAGACGTTACAGGTCTGTGAGAGCCAGATTTTTCTTGTTTGAAGTGACCAAATACTTATTTTCCACCCTGATTTACAAATAAATTCTTTAAAAATCCTGCCATGTGACATCATGAATTTTTTTTCACATTCTGTCTCTCACAGTTGAGGTGTACCTATGATGTAAATTACTGACCTCTGTCATCATTTTAAGTGGGAGAACTTGCACAATCGGTGGCTGACTAAATACTTTTTTGCCCCACTGTATAAAACCTTGCTGTATGTGTATAAGGCCCTACAGGGCACTGAACCTATCCATCTCTCCTCACTGCTTCATAAATGCACCCCATTCCGTTCCTTAGACAGGGAACTCTTGGAAGTGATACAAATCTAGGGGTGATTGTGCATTCTCTGTGGTGGCCCCAAGTTTATGGAACATGTTGCCTTTGCTTGTGAGGCAGACATCATCCCTCCAGTCTTTTTAAGTCTCATTTAAAGATACACTTATACCAATTGGCCATTTCCCGTAGAGTCACAAATCTGTCTTGTTTTTATTGTGTTATTCTTTAATTGATTTGCATTTGCTTTTAAGTTCACTGTTATTGTACCTAATTTAATTTTTAGTTATATTTATAATAAAAAAAATCTTTTACTACCTGTTTTATTTTTTTATTGTGCATTTGAGAAGGTGTTGGCTGTGCAGACTTTGTCATGAAGTTACAAACTTGATGCAATCAGACATTCAGTTGGCCCACTTTTCCTCTGCTTCACAGCTAAAAGAGATTTTGTACATATGAGAACATTCTGCATGTTGCAAATGAAAGCAGAAGGGGAAATTGAATTTTAAAAATAATCTAATCTGTCTGACTTGAAACAAAATAAAAACTGCAACTTTACTGTTAAACTGAAGAGTTTGGGTTTTTATAAATCTGTGTACTATAAGGAGTAGATGTCTGTCCTAAAACAGATGATGCCCAAAATTCTAAAACGTGCTGCGTGGAAAACCCTAAGGACAGAAGTTTGACACCCTTGTGGGAGGAATTTCTTTATGGCAGTTCTTCAGCCAAGAGTAATCTATGATGGGTGTAGGCAGAAGTACAGGGGGAAATGACTTGCTCTCAAGGGAAGAGCATACCTTTTTTTTTTTTTTTGTTGCAGCCTGTTGCTTTAGTGAAGGCTTGGACATGGTGATAAGAAGTTTCCACATCAACATTGGTGAAAGAAGCTACTATTCTGTCAGATTGCACAAACATGCAATTTAAAATTGTTCTTGGGTTATGTGTGTGTGTGTGTGTGTGTGTGTGTGTGTGTGTGTGTGTGTGTGTGTGTGTGTGTGTGTGTGTGTGTGTGTGTGTGTGTGTGTGTGTGTGTGTGTGTGTGTGTGTGTGTGTGTGTGTGTGTGTGTGTGTGTCAGATGTTTACCCTTTTGAAAAAGCAAATAAAAAATAAAGCAGAAGTTGCATTTTAATACTTTATGTAAACCAAAATTTCAGATGTACAAAGTCTTTTTTTAGAAAAGGGTGCACAGTAGGAACAATTGAGTCTGTCCTACCTAATGCTCAGTGTCCTTGACCCCATCAGTTCTGCAAAGCTTTGTCATTATGTATGGTGAGAATGCTTTGACCTTTCAGAGTGCTATAAAGAAAAGGTTCTTCAGACTTTTAGAAGCTATAGGTGAGCAAGGCAACAAAAGCCTTTTTTCTAACACTATTAACCCTGTCCACATTCAGACTGATACTTCATAAATATCAGAATTAAGAGGCCTAGATGGAATAATTGAACATCCTAAAATATAAAAAAGGCATAAATTCAACTAAAGTCTGGCATAAAAGCAGGAACATCTAAGTTGAAGGATTTTAGGTTATTTTTTTGATAAAGACTTGATCTGATTGGATGAAATAAGCAAGATGGCAGACATCAGAATGACCACAGGCATAATAAAAAAAATTCCCAGAATGGTACAATACCAATGTGGTACAATGGTACAGTGTGCAAAACAAATTATCTAGAGGTGACATGGTTTTCAGTGGTCTCATTAAAAGGCCCACTCATGTGCTGAGGACATGGTGAGACCAAATATGGTTAATTGAGGGTGTTTCTGTATGTAAATGACTGAGGGGGTAACACAAGCACCTGAGTACACACAGGTGGGATTTATCAGGCGATTGCAGAGGAACATGTGTACAAGAAGCCACCGCATATTTCATAAATCAGGATTTTTACTGTTCATACACACATTCTAAATTTAATTCATAGGACGGAATATAGGACATTTTCTTCAAACGTTTGATCAATGAGGGCCCAGGACTTAAATTCAGGAAAATATTTAAAACTATGACGTTGAATTTGAGTTTCAAACAAACCCTCTTGAAAAAGACACATTTTTCATGTCTGGTCTTTCTTTTCAGGTTAGTGCAGCTCTAGAGGAACAAGCCTTCTCTGAGGCCTGGGGGATGAAGGCCAAGCAGGTCTTTTCTAAGGAGCTTCTTGACTCCCTCCCTGATGCTGAAGACAAGATGTTGATGGAGGGCATCATGCAGCTGGGAGCTGCTAACCTTCCCCAGAATGAAAGAGAGGAGGTTTGATGGCTTTCATTCTCCCTCCTACTCTAAATTTCCCATTACACATCACATCCTCTTTTATAGCGATTGTTTTGTAAACCGAGATCTTGACGATCGTCTTTTTTATTTACTTGTCTGTAGTTCAACACCATTCTCAGCACCATGGATAGTATTTATTCAACAGCAAAGGTACACCCACAGCCAAACATAAGCTGGAGCCTGGAACCCGGTGAGTAAACCCAACCAGAGGTTCTTTTTCTCATCAACGTCATCATTTTAAAGCTAGTAAACCGTCTGACATGTGGCGCCAGTCACCTTAGATGTTGACATTATCCAGTGTGGCATAAAGTCATTATCCAATGTGGTATACAGTCATTTTGTCTTTATCTTGATAGTTGGAATAAAGCAGAATAATTTGGAACTTATAAGGCAGGGTTATTCAATTCCAGGCCTTGAGGGCCAGTATCCAGCACATTTTAGTTTTAACACCTTATTTGAATCAGCAATTGGCATGTTTCTGCAGAGCCTGGTGAGCTGCTGCTGCACAGCTGATTCCACCACGGAATCAAGTGTGATGAATCAGGGAAACCACTAAAATGTGCTGGATACTGGCCCTCCAGACCCGGAATCGAATACCCCCTGCTATAGGGTTTTCTAGTTGCAACTTTCGAGTTTAACCTTTAGACAAACACTCTGATGTAATAATGCTGATGAATACTGGCAACCCACTTGTGCTGAGCACAACACAACATAGCTGAAGTAGAGGAAACAAACGAGTTTGCAAAGAGGAAGTCTTGAAATCAACAAAGTTTTGAGTGGGATCTGATGTTATCAGTTGTTATTAACAGGATGGGCATAGTAACTTCTGAAGGGCTTTCAGAGGAAGTGTTATGAACATTTCCAAATGTTCTGTGTGAAATGCAGAAAAAAACCACATGTTGGCTTTAAGTGCTTGATGGTGAACAATAGTCCTTTGTTTTGTGAGAAACTGCTGTCTGCACGTACAATCTGTAGTGGAACAGGAAAAATCACCTCTGCTTGAGAAAGTTGCTCGTAAACTAGACTGAGTTCATTACTGTAAAAATGGGAGGGTATTTAACGGGTTCTCATTGTGAAAACGGTTGCACTGTTCTCATTACACATGCATGGAATAATTTTAGATATAGTTTTTGTGTCTCAAAGCTGGGAGCTTAAATTAAATTCTGATTGAGTTTCTTGAAAGAAGCAGGATTGAAACTAATAACTTTCCCGTTGCAACAAATCTCAATATTTTTTAAGGATTTCTTTATTTTTTGCTTAAAGGTGTTCTAGAATTCAAAACTACATTTACCTTATGTTTGAATCTAGACAGCGTGGGGTGTCGAATGTACTGAAATGGCTGTGCCATCTCCAACCTGCTTTCTTATGTAAATGAGTAATGTTGTAAAGGAGAGGGAGATAAAAGCTGATTTAACATGTTGGATACACCACATTACATTTTCATGTCCCAACCAACATCAGGGTTAGCAATTTATAAACGTTTGTGGCAATAATGTTAAGTGCAGAACAACACGAGGCCAAGCTACTCCTAATGTCCTTGTTGCACCAGAGGAAAATGAAAGTTCCAGCATGTCGGTAACATGTAATATTAGAGGTCTGAGAAATTTTGAAAAGCACGTATGAGAATTGATTTGGCAGTTCCAGGGTTAAACGCATATATAGGGAAACTTCACATTTGATCTTTTTTGCAGCCGCGACTTGTTTCTACTGTAGCTTGTCTGCTCTGAGAGAAAATTGTCATTTGTCTTTAAAGAGCTAACAGACATCATGGCCAAATCCAGGAGCTACAAGAAGTTGCTCTATGCTTGGGAAGCCTGGCACAATGAGTCTGGCGTGCCTCTAAAGGAGTATTACCCCAGGTTTGTCGAGCTCAGCAACAAAGCCTCTAGAGGAGATGGTGAGAACATATTTATTAAATGGAAAAACTGCAAAGACAAATGGCAAAAAGAAATCCAACACAGAGGATGTAAACTGATCTAATTTGGGACGTCTAATTCTGTAGGATTCAATGACACTGGAGCAGTTTGGCGCTCTTGGTACGAGTCTCCAACTTTTGAACAGGATATAGAAAAGCTCTACAGGACCATCGAGCCACTTTACCTGAACCTGCATGCATTTGTGCGCCGCAAACTCTACAACTTCTATGGACCCAGATATATCAACCTGAAGGGACCGATTCCTGCACACCTGCTGGGTACGGTGCATTTGGTTACAGATGTGTTTTTAAAAAAAAAAGTAGTTTTAAATGGGAAATATGTCCAAAAATGAAGCTGTTTTTACAATTCCTTAATGTTAACTAAGGTCAGTAGCAGCATGGTATCATGATGCAGACATGGAACTGAATAAACCTTCTTTGTGAAGGGATTTCCTTTAGTGGAATATCTCATATGGAGTCAGAACAGCCATGTAAGTGTTTCCATCCTCACTCTCAGGAAATATGTGGGCCCAGACCTGGAACAACATCTTTGACATGATGGTCCCATTTCCTGACAAACCCAACGTGGATGTGACGGCTGAAATGGTTAAACAAGTCAGTGGGGAAACTTGTGCTACTGCAGTGGGAAAGGCTTCTAAATTTTCTGAATGATTGTAAAATGACTCTTATTGCCCACAGGGCTACAATGCTACACACATGTTCCGTGTGGCCGAGGAGTTCTTCACCTCCTTGGATTTAGCAGAAATGCCTAAAGAATTCTGGGAAGGTTCTATGCTTGTTAAGCCTGAGGATCGAGAGGTAGTGTGTCACGCGTCTGCCTGGGACTTTTACAACCGCAAAGACTTCAGGTAAGCTGGTTTATCTGGTAAACTATTTACCTGTAAAGCTTGTATTCAATAATCATTAAACCTCCTCAGGATTAAGCAGTGCACCACAGTGACCATGGAGCAGCTCTTCACTGTTCACCATGAGATGGGACACATCCAATATTACTTGCAGTACAAGGACCAGCCTGTGGGCTTTCGCGATGGAGCCAACCCCGGATTTCACGAAGCCATCGGTGATGTTCTGTCACTTTCTGTTTCGACCCCAAAGCACCTGCACAAAATTAACCTGCTAGAATCTGCAACCTCTGACGAAGGTAACAATGCCACCCTGTTGAATATCGGTCGTCAAACCCAAGTTTTGCCAAAACCAACTTTGGATGTTTCCTCCCCAGAAACTGACCTTAATTTCCTGTTGAAGATGGCTCTGGAGAAGATTGCCTTCCTTCCTTTTGGTTACCTCATTGACCAGTGGAGATGGGGGGTATTTGATGGGCGCACCCCTCCAGATAAATACAACTCTGAGTGGTGGTACCTCAGGTGGGGTTAGGCACAAAAGAACTTTTAAAGATTAGGCAAATATTTGGATTTTTGTACAGAATTCTAATTATACTGTCTGAAAATCATCCTGATGCATAGATTGCTAATGCATTTTAAGAATGTAGCAAAATTGTTGGAACCATGTTGTTTCAGAACCAAATACCAAGGAATTTGCCCGCCCACCAAGCGTACAGAGGACCACTTTGATCCTGGTGCAAAATACCACATCCCTGGAAATACACCATACATCAGGTATCTGGTCCGACTGCCTCTAGAAATGACTCCCACAGTTGAGTGCAGAAGCAGTTCCTTTTTGGAAGATGCCACCTCAGTAACTAGCATTTGTACTCTTAAAGGCTCAGTTGTGTGCTTCATATACTCATGCTGACTAATACTTCTGGGTTGCTGCTTAAAGTAACTCATGGATTCAAAGATTAAAGGTCTTTAAAAACAATATCTGTCTCTACTAAACGTTCATGAACTATTGGTGCACCCATGCCTGAAATGTACAGTAAATCTGTTTGGTGTAGTTTGAATGAGAGCTTAAAGATCATCATGCAATTCCAAACAAGAGCCTCCTACAATAGGAGGAAGCCTGTTCCACGACAGGAGCAAACAAATCCCATCTGGTTTCTAAAAACAATCAAAACTTAAAAAAAAAAAAAAGTGAGTGGTTGGATGATGTTCCAGCTATAGGCTGAAGGGAAAATTGTCACATCTATACATGTGTTTTTCTTTCTTTTCTGCAGGTATTTTATCAGCTTCATCCTGCAGTTCCAGTTTCACGAGAAGCTGTGTGAAGCAGCCAATCACACTGGCCCTCTGCACACATGTGACATCTACCAGTCTGCAGAAGCAGGAGCCATTCTAAAGTATGCCCAAGCCAAATCTCGAGTTCAAAACACTAAAAATGCAACATTAATGTCTGTCCTTCTCAAAGGAAAGTTCTTCAGGCTGGCTCTTCCAAACCTTGGCCTGATGTGCTCCAGGAGGCCATTGGCACCAGAGAGATGAATGCCAACTCACTAATGAAATACTTTGAGCCTGTAACAAAGTGGCTGCAAGAACAAAATGTGAAAGAGACTCTGGGATGGCCTGAATTTAACTGGGTCCCACCCATTCCTGAGGGCTACCCAGAGGATGTAGGTGAGGCTGGGCTAAGAACACACTCAATCTTAATGGCACCACCAGCATTATTGCTATTGATTAAATGAGATGTAATCATACATGGTCACTTGTCAATTGTAATTTTCCCCTTTTTCTCACACCAAGATAAGAATACAGATGAGCTCCATGCAAAGACGTTTCTAGAAGAGTATAACCGAACAGCTGAAGTGACTTGGAATGCATACACAGAGGCTTCTTGGAACTACAACACAGACCTCACTGAATCTAATAAGAAGATCATGGTGAGAAAAGCGGTCTGATTCTAACTGCTGCTCTCGTCTGTATTATTTTAGGTTTGCATTCATGAAAAAATAAAATAAATTGTCACTGTGTGCATGCTTTTAAAGGAAGACTAGGCAGATTTGGCTTGCTTTTAGCACCCCTTAATGTTTGTTTGTAGAACCGAAACCATCTCCTCGTTGTGCATTCGTCTTAGCACCTTGGTTAATCTTACAGCTGAAATGTGTCCCAGCCTTCCTTAGTTTCTACAAGAGTGATTTATCACTAAATTAAGCAAATAAGCTGTGTAATGATCTAAAACATACAGGAAACATACTGGAACCAGACAGCAGTGTCAGGCATGTAAACTCAATTTTTCTAAGACCAATAGACCGGACCGGCAGTTGCAAGTTCGATATTCTGGCCACAGGGGATGATGGTGGCTGGGTCGCCTATCGTTAAGCCTATAAAGTCACTTTAGTACATACTGGCGGAAGAAAACGATAAAAAAAAAATATGAAAAAGTTGCTAAGTATCCCTTTACCAAAACAAATATTCAAGCAAAGGTGTTGAGTAACAAAGTACAAATGGTTGGTTAACTCAAATTTTCTATTTAAGTAATTTACCTCACTGGAGTACTTATCTATTAGCTTACTTTTTACTTCTACTCCATACATTTCCACGCATTCATCTGTACTTTCAACTCCTTACATTTAAAAAAAAAATAGCCTCATTACTTCTGTTTAGTTTCAGCCTGTCATTGTTGGCGTTTGTGAAAACATGGCAAAAAGTTGGACATGGCGGGCGTGTTTTAATATTACGTGATTAAAAACATAAAAACGGCAGACATATAGAGGGACTTGCACCTGTAACTTGCAAACTTATTGCTATTGAAAAATTTCCTAAACAGCCAATGACAGATTATTTTACAATTTGCATGGATGTGTTTTATTTATTTTTATTGATCCAAAAGGGATTGTCTCTGATCATAGAACAATAGCCCCTTATGGATAATTGCAATATTTCAGATAATTTTTGTGGTGTTCTGATGATCCCTAATAATTTATGGATAGTTCTGTTTTCTGAGCAGAATGACTGTCTAATCATGGTAGAAAATGTTTTTCATTTTGTAATGCATTGCCTGTTGCAACAAAAGTCACCATCTGGATTTAAATTTCCAAACACACCCATCTCACCCCACTTCTCCTCCAGCTTCACTGGCTGCCAGTCAACTTCAGGGTTCATTTCAAGATCCTGGTTCTGGTCTATAGGGCCTTACATGGACAAGCACCATCTTACATTGGTGATCTTCTTAGTCCCTACACCCCCAGCAGGTCCCTGAGGTCCAGTGATCAAAGCCTACTGGTTGTGCAGCGCACCAGGCTAAAGACCAAAGGTGGCAGATCATTTGCTGCTGTGGTCCCCAGACTCTGGAACTCTCTACCCCTGAGCCTGAGATCAGTGGACTTAGTGGTCTCCTTTAATTAAAAAAAAACTGCTGAAAACTCACTTGTTCAAGCAGGCTTTTGTATGACCTTCTTCACCACTCTCTCTTTATTCTGCTCTCCCCACCTATTCCACCTTCCTCAGGATCCACTGATTTCCCTCTTTCCTATTCTCTACATTTTTTAATCTATTTTTTGCTTAATTTAAATATATCTTTAACCATTTTCTAAATTCTTTATTTTTACATTTTTTTTGTTTTTGTTAAGCGCCTCGCGATTTTTATCTTGAGAGGCGCTTTAGAAATTATATTTTCTTCTTAACTAAACAAATAGGTACCAGCCTCCTGTTGGATAATTAGTGCATGGGCAATTATCTTTCAGCTAGCAACAAGTTATTTAACACACACTGGTGCAATGAGTTGCTTCTCATTTCTTAAATAACCATGTGGAAAAACACATCTGGTGGTTGTGAAAAATATGTTGGTCTGTTTGAGAAGGGTCAAGTCATTAGCATGCATCAAGCGGAGAAAACATCTGAGGAGATTGCAGAAACAACTAAAATTGAGTTAAGAACTGAACGGAAAGTAGGAACCCATCTTTGAGAAAGAAATGTCGCTTGACAAAAATCCTGAATGATTGTGATCAGCGATCACTTAAACGTTCAAAATCAAATAGAAGAAAAACAGTAGAATTCTATTCAAATTTATTTATATAGCCCCAAATCATGACAAGAGTCGTCTCGAGGCATTTCACAAAGTAAACATTACCTCAGGGCTATGTTTAAAAGTGACAAGAGCATTTCCACATGCACAATGTGAAGGGAACTCAAGTGATTGGGACTGAACAGCTATGTAGCCATAAGAACTACGTAGCCATAAGAAAACTACTAATCTGTGAGGCAAACTGTAAAAAAACCCGCTTCAGTTAGCTAGATGGCATAAAGCTTGGACTCTGGGTCAATGGAAGTAGGTCATGTGGTCGGAGTCCAGATGGACTCTGTTCCAGAGTGATGGGTGCATTTGGGTAAGAAGAGAGGCAGATGAAGTGATGCACCCATCATGCCTAGTGCCTACTGTACAAGCCTGTGGGGGCAGTGCCATGATATGGGGTTGCTGCAGTTGGTCAGGTCTAGGTTCAGCAACAGGATGTGCACAAAGAACGAGGTCAGATAACTACCTCAATATACTGAATGACCAGGTTATTCCATCAATGGACTTTTTTCTTCCCTGATGGTACGGGCATATTCAAAGATGACAATGCTAGGAGTCATCAAGCTCGAATAGTGAGTGGTTCAGGGAGTATGTTGTGTCCCATGCTGTCTAGGGGACCTGGGGGTAACAAAGATGCATGCTCTGGTGTTAAAAGGTTACTTAACCTTCCTGCATTGTTAAAGGGGTCAGATGGGCTCCAGGAGCTGTTTTAAAATGTATTTATTTTTTACGAGTGCACCACTCCACCCTTGCCAAGGGATAAACTATCAACCATGTTTAACCACTCCTGTCCTGGAGTCACATGATAGGACAGAAGATGGGTTAAACACATTTATTTACACAAAGGACAATAGACTAACACAAATGGACTGATTGGCAGCAACATAAGTACAAAACAAACATTCAAAGTTAAATTAGCCAAACTAAGACAAAACACACTGAAAGAACTTATAATTAGAGACTTCCCTGCCTTTTGATAATTCTTAGACACAAAGTTGATGAGTGCAGGCTTTACCCTGCACAGAAAATGCTAATTGGCTAAAACAGGTTACCGAGTGCCACGCTTCTCCAGTGCAAAGTTACACAAAAGGTTTACAAAAAGGATTAACACCAAGCACGCCAAAGAGACAACAAATCAGAGACAAATGTCTCTGATCTGCTACTCTCTGGTGATGAGGGCTGGGTGGCTTTTATGCAATGAGTCCTTATTCAGCTGGTGATTATCATTCCCACCAGCTGGCAGCTTCAGTGTGGAGCTGGACAGGTGTGGGAGGAGCCAGGTACTGCAAAACAGCTCCTCTCACACAGGAGGGTTAAAAAGAGTCAAAGTGAAATTGAGAAGTGAAATAAAAACAAACAACACCAGCTGTAACACTCACCCTCTTAAAATAAACATAATTTTATTAAAACATTTTTCTTCCTCCCTCCCAAACCACAAAGCAGTTCAAACGGTTAGTAATAAATTACTAAATGCACCTCCTGAGGCCAATGGTGCAGGAAAAGATAAATAAAAACTCAAACGACACCAGCCGTAACAGTGCATGAGACATAACTTTAACACATGGATTGGCCACCACAGATTCCAGACCTTAACCCCATTGAGAATCTTTCGGGTGTGCTGGATGTTACAACCCCGACATGTGCAATTAAAATGTGAAGGAGGGGTAACATAAAAGACATGACGGTGGATTTAAAATGGGTTTAATTGCCATAAAACGTTTCTAAATACAAGTGAGCAAACCGATGGAGAGTATTATTAAAATAATGCTAAACAAAACCAAGACTAAAAGGTTAACATTTAAAGGATGAATTATCAACATTAAAACCCCTCGTTAAAACTTAAGTTTTACCGGACTAGGAGTTTTTAAAAAGCTCTAAGTTGATAAAAAAAAAAAAAAAAACAGACGTACTACGAAAACACTGAGTGTTTTAAAATCCCAAAGTCGGTAAACTTCGACGTTAACCTTATAAACAATACATTAACCAAAAAGTTCACAGAGGTCTTATAAAACACACACAGGGAGTTTAAAACAAAGCATGAGGCCTGGAGAACAGCAGAACCCCTAGACTGCTGCCTCCCAGACTGCTGGGTGGCACAGTCTTTTATCCCAGGTGTTGTTCATTAGTGGGTTTCATGTCATCTGTGCTCATCAGCAGCCTGGAGGAGAGGAGGAAGAGGGGCGGAGTCTGGGCTGATCACCGGGGCTGGGTGATCCTGGATCTGAAGTGGCCAGGCTGGTGGTCATAACACTGGAGAAGGCTTTGTGCAGCAGTCAGATCCTACTGTCATCAATGCAAGATCTTGGTGACAAATTTATGCAACACTGGATGGAAACAAATCTTGTGACGTTGCAAAAAGCTTATTGAAACAACGCCACCGTGTATGTGGGCCGTAATTAAAGCTAAAGGCAGTCCAACAAAATATTAGTGTGTGACCTTATTTTTTTTGGCCGTACGCTCTAACGCACAATGATTTTTTTCCCCCAAATTATTTCAATAGATTATTACAGCATAAAATATGTAAAATGTCACTGCAACACCCACTGTTAAAGGTTACAAGCCATCAGCACGAGAGGACATTGTAAAACAGTTTTATGGGGAGGTGTGGTAGTGCTGTGGTGCTTTTGTTCTTAATGGATTTATTTTGTTTTACTTTTAGTCATTTTTTAAACCTGTAATATTATACTTTTACTTGTGCAATACACTTGAATTGATGCTTCAACTTCTACAGAGGTCTTTTCAATCCCTTGTATCTGTACACTTGAGTAATGAATGTAAAACGTGACACTTTAGCATGCAAGGTTGTGCTTTCACTAACACATTGCTATAAAACTAGCATACTTCAAATCCAACTAAGAATCCATCAAATGGTTGTTTTGAACTGAGCACAAAATAAATACTCCCTGTCATCCAGCTCCAGAAGAACCTGGAGATGTCGAAACATACCCTGAAGTACGGACTAAAGGCTCGCGAGTACGATACCACGGACTTCCAGGATACTTCCGTTAAACGCATCATCAAAAAACTCAGTGACATTGAGAGGGCTGCTCTGTCCTCAGCAGAGCTGGAAGAGGTGAGTTTTAAAATTGTTCCATTTGTTACAACGATACGGCAATTTTTACTCAATTGAAGTAGTTTATTTTTGTAGGGCTAGAATGAGGAAAATGTATCTTTAGGTTTTATGAATGAAATAATTTTGATTGCAGTGGTCCTAATCCAAAGGATTTTGGAGCTGGATCAGATACTGCAGATTCCATACTTGGCCACTTTATGGTCATGAAGATGAAACTTTCTGGGAAATTGTTTAAGAAACACCATTGAACTGGAACCTGCTAATACAGCAGTGTTGACATTTAGAGCAATGTCTTGTGTTGCTTGGAGGAAACTGGGACACCAAAATGGAGAAAAAACTGTTATCCCATAAGTCTTCAAAAAATCTCTAAACCCAACTAATTTAATCTTTTGACCTAGAGGGCCAGTACCTGCACGTTTTAGCAGTTTCTCTTCTCCATGACACCCGATTCAACAACTGAATCAACGCTCCAGTGTGTCGAGCTCCTCAGACGCTAACGCGAATCACTAACTGAGAAAACGTGAACAACATGCAGATTGTGGCCGTGAGGTTCTCAGACGAAGGATTCCTGATCGAAATTTTGGTATACCAGCTTAAAAAATAACAAATTTACCTAAATCTGATCTGTGATATAAAGCTGAAACATCTTGGCTAATCTAAGTTTCCTGAAAAGGAATATGCTCATTACTTCATTAACATGGAAATAAAAAGCAAAAAGACTTCTAAATAATCTTTGAGCAACATTTAAAAGGTATTTTAGCTAATCACAGAGCTTTTAGATCTGTGCATAAGAAACACAAACCAACATTCATCATCTCAGCTGCTGATGCCAGGATACTGTCAACTTGTTTTTATTTTATTCTTTTTACTAGTCTGTAGTATATTTGTAAAAATGTAAATTTGCATCTCTTGTTTCTGCAGTACAACACCCTTCTATCTAACATGGAGACTAAGTACAGTCTGGCTGTGGTTTGCAGAGATGGTGTCACCTGCCATCCACTGGATCCAGGTAAAGTAATAAAGTGTAAAAGTACATAAATAAATGTAGAACAGAAAGTTTTATTGTTTAACAGTTAATAATTGGTCTGTTTTGCTTTGAACTGTTTTACAAGGACTCCTAGTTTGTGTTATTTCCTATGAAGTTGATTCAGATTATAATGTAATCCCTGGTGTGCCTCAGATCTCCAGAAGATCATGGCAGAGTCCAGGGACTACGATGAGCTGCTGTTTGCTTGGAAAGGATGGAGAGATTCTGCTGGCAAAATTCTTCGTCAGGATTATAAAAGATATGTTGAACTGGCCAACAAAGCTGCCACAATCAACGGTACCATATCTGGACCTGGTCATGCACTCGCACTGTTTAAGCAACAACTCTTGTTAAAAAGACAGGTGGAAAGTTCATTTAAGGTTCTCAGTGTGACTTTATACATCTCCAAGTTACCAGACAAGTTGGGGCTACACGTTTAGGCTAAATGTAAAAACAGTCTTCACCACGTATGCCCTGCATTAGCTGCCAATGGAAAATAGATGGGGAAACTTGCAGATTCAAAAAGCCAGTGAAATCTGTCACATTGAAACTTAGTGTTCATAGACTCGCCCATTTTGGCTCGTGACAGAGGAAGGGTGCATTGATTTGGCATCCAGGAGAGAGCAGAGCGCATCTTGGCTAGAAGCTAAACGTTAGCATTAGCAACTCCACAACACGGCAGAACTCTTTCGGGCTTGTGTTATTTGCGGATATCAAACTTCAACGTTGCAAAGCAAACCGAGTCGGTGGTAGTCACATTGGTATGGGCCAATCAGAGGCGAGATGTCCGATTAGGAAGAAATAAGACTCCAAATCCTGCAGTCTTCTGTTTATCTCTGCTCCGACTAACTTCTACTTCTTTAAACAGGAGCGCAAGAGCTTTTTCCCTCAGGGTGACGCACAAGGCATTCATTTATACTGGAGACTGCTGCAAATGTATTTTAAAAAAATTTGTGAACTTGGTCCTTAATATAAATTTAGTTTTAAACCATAAGCTAACTGGACAAATATTCACATCTACACTTTTATACAATGAAAGGACACCTTTTTGGGTTTGAGTTTGTCATGATTGTATTGCTGTGAAATCTCTCTTTCCCTCATATTTATTCTACCAACTGTGTCCAGTTCACAAAGTTAGCCATGTGGGCCCAGCTGTGAACTACTGACCTGATCTGGAATTTAGAGTGTAACTGTGAGTCAAAATATGTGAACCTCTCCAGGTCATTCTGATAATGGAGCTTTTTGGCGGTCTCTGTATGAAACTCCAACTTTTGAGGAGGACCTGGAGACTCTGTGGAAGGAGCTGGAGCCTCTCTATCTGAACGTACATGCATATGTTCGAAGGGCTTTGTACAGAAATTATGGTCCTGACTACATCAACCTGAAGGGACCAATTCCTGCTCATCTGTTGGGTACGTATGAAGGAAATATAATGGACTTGTCAGAGCTGAAATGCTAACTCCTGTCAGCCAGAATTTCTCACCATAGCCCAGAATTCTCCTTTTATTTTGAGCCATTCCTCATTGATGTCATGTCTTTGGCTGCAGATGCCTTTGGATTTAATTCTCTTTCAAAGTCACAAAGTGTGAGATTGTGTGTGTGTGACAGCTCCATATGCTCAGGGTTTGGACTGACTCACAATCACAAATCCCACTTGGTTCAACAGCAGCACAGCAGAGGATGACTCTTACCTGGTCTTCTTAGTAATGTTGACTTCTGTCCTTTCAGGCAACATGTGGGCTCAGACCTGGTCTGGGATTATGGATTTAGTCACACCCTACCCAGATGCCACACAGGTGGATGCTACTCCAGCTATGGTGGCACAGGTGAGGGACATCATGAAACCACTGCAGTAAACATGAGAACGCAAGGACCAGACTATAGAACCCCTCTTTTCCTGTAATCATTTTGTGATTTTAAAGGCAACATTTCTGATTTTATTACTTCTCAGGGTTGGAACGCCACCCGGATGTTCCAGGAATCAGACAGATTTTTCACCTCTCTGGGCTTGTTGCCCATGCCCAAAGAATTCTGGGACAAATCCATGTTGGAGAAACCGACTGATGGACGCCAGGTGGTGTGCCATGCCTCTGCTTGGGACTTCTATAATCGGAAAGACTTCAGGTTTGTTGCCTTAAGTTCTGGTAGCCTGGTAGTCGATACCAGATTGTGTATCAAATTATGGGACAAGAAGACGCCTGATAATCTCTGAAGTCACACAGATGTCACACAGATTTAAAAGCTAAGTTTTTTTCCAGCTATGGAATAGATTTAATATTCTTGTTTTAAAGATGGAGTGACATTCTGCTCTTATTGAGTCTTGTAAGTCTCTATAGATCTAACTTCTTGCTTAATCTAAATTAGCCTTATAATAAACACCCTCATTATTTGACCACATAGCAAAATCTATTCTTGACATTTATCCTGTAGATAAAAAAATCCTGCTCCCGCTTGTGTCTTCAGGATTAAACAGTGCACGGTTGTGACTATGGATGACCTGATCACGGTGCACCATGAGATGGGCCATGTTCAGTACTTCCTGCAGTACAAAGACCAGCCTGTGTCCTTTCGTGATGGAGCCAACCCTGGTTTCCATGAGGCCATTGGAGATGTTCTTGCACTGTCAGTGTCCACGCCCAAACACCTGCAGAGCATCGGCCTTCTGGACAAAGTTGAGGACAACCACGGTACGTGATGATGAAAAATACAGAGAGTTGGTTCTGCAACATAAGTCTGACATGTCTGTGCCTCCTTTAGAAAGTGAAATCAACTTTTTGATGAGCATGGCCCTCGACAAGATTGCCTTCCTACCTTTTGGCTACCTGATGGACCAGTGGAGGTGGAAGGTGTTTGATGGACGCATCCCTTCAACTGAATATAACAAAGAATGGTGGAACCTCAGGTGAAGGTCACAGTCTAGTGGTGATCATACCATGTAAATTGCGTGGCAATGACTAAATTTTTAAATTATTTAATTTTTGCTCATTGCAGATTGAAGTACCAGGGACTGTGTCCACCTGTACTTCGCAATGAGGATGACTTTGACCCAGGTGCTAAGTTCCACATCCCTGCAAATGTGCCCTACGTCAGGTACAACCGAACTCTGACTTTGCAAAACAAATTAGGCATGGTAGACTTGAGTACAGCTACAGTTAGATAAGTGAGAGACGATGAGGAACATGTCATGTTGTACTTGTTTTCATTATCATGACTTTCTCTGGTGCAAAAAACCAAAAGGTAGGCAGTCATTTAGCTTCTGTCTGCTTGTCAATGTTTGTTTGTTAGTAAAAGAGCTCATGCACCACTGGATGGATTTTAATTAACAATTAAACACATGATCATGGGATGTATGTCTACATCTTTTTAACTTTTGGTGTATGCTGCATTAAGGTTGGCCAGCACAGCTAAGCATCCTTTATTACAATTTCATTTTTACAGTAAAGTTTGGAGTGTAAGCTGAGTCATCTCTACAAAGTGCTTTAAAGCTTTGCTGTTAGCTGTTTGAGTGAGCTTTTTGTCTCTGTTGGAAAAAATCTTTCCTGACCTTGAATTTTATTTAAATGAAGACATATTAGACATAAAATCGTTAGAATTTTTTACCTAACCTTATCTAAGAATGCTGTTTTTTATGTTCAGGTACTTCATTAGCTTCATCATCCAGTTTCAGTTCCACAAGGCTCTGTGTGATGCTGCGAAGCATAACGGGCCACTGCACATGTGTGATATCTACAAATCTCACGAAGCTGGGAAGCTGCTGGGGTGAGTGTGCTCACACTCCTGCTCATGTATATGTGTGACAAACTGCCCAACACTTACCACAAATCCTTGCCAACCCTGACCTTGAATTGTCTATGTAATTTGCAGCGACGCAATGAAGCTTGGTAACAGTAAGCCCTGGCCTGAAGCCATGGCCATGATCACTGGTCAGTCCAAAATGTCCGCCCAGCCCCTCATGACATATTTCAAACCGCTCATCGATTGGCTGGAGGTGGAGAACAACAAGAATAACGATGTCCGCGGATGGCCCGAGTATGACTGGAAACCTGCAACAAGTATGTCTTTTAACATGTGATTTAATACATCAGCAGCAGAAACATGCATGTATTTGTAGGAAGTTTGCACAAAAGAAGTTCTACATGTTCAAAGCAGGATGCTGAAATCCTTTCCAGAACGTGAAGCCACAGAGGCAGGCACCTGGTTTTTATCCTCTGCTTAAGCTGACTGTGAAATCAATCAGGCACTCTTCTTGTTTTACTGATGAGAAAGGATGTATGGAGATTAGACTGCTGAAATATGGGCAACCTATCGCGCTCGAAAGACTTGCAGGGATAAAAAGACACAGCTGCTATGGGAGAAGTCAAGAAGAAATCCAGAAAATGGATGTAGAAATGAAATGGTGTAATTCATAGACATTGTAAATTTTAGCTCTAGTTAAAATGGCTGATTTCTCAGTTTTAGTTTGCAAAGGAGATATAACTTTGGGATGTGTTACTGTACCAACAGGTGGCAACAAAGTGTTCCATCTGTTGGTAGAAACTATTTTGTAAAAATGGAGTGGAGGCAATTGGTAATAAAAAATAGAAACCATGCCAAGATATAATGTATTTGTTGAATATTTCTGATGCTTGTTGCAAAAAAAAAAAAAAGTTAAAGAAGCGCTTGAGAAGGACCTTCCCAGGGAGGCTCAGGACTGTGACCCCCTGTAGGTGGAACACACCCTGCCGTCCCTGTTTTTAAAGAGGGGTAACCCAGTCTGCCAACTGCCCTGATGTCCACACAATATTACAAAGCCGTGTCAACCAACACAGCCCTACAACTTCCAGAACCCCTAAGCCTAATTTATACTTCACCGTCAGAACTGTCACGCACGCACACAATGCCATTATCCGTCCTTTTGAGGGCGACAGGACAGGATGGGCTCTCAACGATGGATGGAGTCGAGCTCTCTTTTCTAAACATCCATTCATCGAGATGGAGAACACATGGTCAGTATGCCGCTGTCATTGACCGCGCTGCCATTGTGCCCTCAAAATCATAGAGCCTAGGATATCTAGCGGCAGACATGGAGCAGCTTGAAGAATTCCTCATGAGGAAACTAAAAATATGAACGTTTTATTCGTGGACGGAAATGATGGGAAAGGTGGCTGTAGAGGTGGAGAGCACATGGAGAGGTGGAGGAGAATGAGGGACAAATCTGTCCATGTTAAAGTCTTGTAAATGGTGCGTTTAAATAGTAATTTTTCTATCTTGGACCTGATATGCAACAGGATTACTACAGAACAGCGCTACGCCCTCTGTTGTCCTGGTGGGGAATTGCTTTGCAACACTCTCCAGGAGACGGAGAAGTATGAAGGCAAATGTCTCGAGCCGTGCGTGCGTGTCACTCCCTCGTGGAGCTGATGGAGAAGTTTAAATTAGGCTTAAGGAACTCTGGGCGGATCACATCCACCCCTGGGGCCTTTCCACAGAGGAGCTTTTGACCACCTCAGTGACTTAAACACCAGAAATTGGAGAGCCCAGCCCAAACTCTCTGGACTCAGCTTCCTCACTGGAAAATGTGCTGATGGGATTGAGAAAGGTCTTCAAAGTTCTCCACCCATCGATCCACAATGTTCTAAGTAGAGGTCAGTAGCACACCGTTCCCACTATAAACTCTAACTAACCTTTCCTGAGGCACTGTTTGGTGAACCAGAATCTCCTCAATGCTGTACTGAATTCTTGTTCCATTGTCTCTTCTAACTCCTGAGCTGCATTCTGCTTAGACTACCGGTACCCATCAGCTGCCCTGGAGGACTCCACAGGCCAAAAGGATTCGATACACCATCTTGTGTATGGCCTGGACTGCTAACAACAAAGACTATGACCCATGGATCATTGAATGCATGTAGTTATCAAAAGTCAACAGGACTCTGAGAGCCTTCATTGCAAACTTGATGAGGCTGTGGAAAACCACCCTTGAAGTAAGTTGCAAGCAAATTGCACAAGCCTCATTCAAACTTGGCATACATAAAGGAGATGCCATGGCTCCACTGCTGTTCTGCATGGGTCTGAACCCGCTCATAAATATAATCAACAAGACTTGCTATGGATACCAACTCAGGAAAGGAACCACAATCAGCAACCTCCTCTACATGGATGACATAAAGATGTACTCCAAAGCCCTGAGGAAGGAGGCTGAAGACTAGTGAGTGTGAGCCACTGTCCAAAATGAAACATCCAAGATCCATAAGTACATTAAGGACGAGGCCTCAACAGATGACATGCTCCGTGAATGTCTCAGACAATAATGATCAGAGGAGATGCTGGAAATGCCATCATGGGACGACAAACCCCTACATGGGATGTACCACCAACAGATAACTGAAGTGGCTGATATCAAGAAATCCTACCATTGGCTAGAAAGAGCCCGTCTGAAGGACAGCACAGAGACAGCAACAGAAGTCAAGAGCTACCACACCAGACAAGACCCAAGGTGTAGGTTAGCAAACAGGCCCCTGAGACAATCCACCACATAACTGCAGGGTGTAAGATGCTGGCAGGGAAAGCTTCCATGGAACGCCACAACCAAGTCGCTGGCGTCGTCTACAGCAACATCTGTACAGAGGATGGACCATGAAGCCCCAAAGTCAATGTGGGAAACACCCCCTAAGGTGGTTGAGAACAAGAGAGCCAAGCTCTGTGGGACTTCCAGATCCAGGCTGACAAAATGGTGATGGGGAACCAACCGGACATTGTGGTGGTGGACAAACAACAGAGGACAGTCGTTGGGGTTGATGTAGCAATACCAAGTGATGCAACATCAGGAAAAAGGAACACAAGAAACTACAGAAGTACCAGGGCCTCAAGGAAGAACTTGAGAAAGCCTGGAGAGTGAAGACATCAGTGTTACCAGTGGTCCTTGGTGCACTCGGGGCAGTAACCCCCAAACTGGAGGAGTGGCTAAAGCAGATCCAAGGATAAGCATCAGACATCTCAGTCCAGAAAAGAGGAACAGCTAAGATGCTGCACAGAACCTTAAGCTCCAAGGCTTCTGGTAGAGGACCCGAGTTTGGAAGGATGAGACTGCCCACGGAGAGTGAGATGGAAATTATTCTTAATATATCTGTAAATAGAAATGTATGTTGTGAAAGTGACAATATAAATATCAGCAGATAAAAGGTTTGTGATCCTGTATTATTGTGGACTGAAACCATTTTAAGATGGGTTGTACTTCAATGTGACGTTACTTTTTGTTGAACAAAGGTTATTCCTCTGAATGTAGGCTGTTCAGGAAGATGCCTAAAATTGGAAGAAATCTACAGAAACTAACTTTAAAATGGCTCAAATGGTATTTTAAATGCACAATGCTATAAATAAATTGTCTAAACTAGCATTTTACGTTTTCCTCTGATTTATAAACACTGGACAAACATCTGGTATCATGGTCAGTCGCAACTTAAACTGTGAAAAGGGTACATAAATCACACACCTGTCCTGTTTGATGAGATCCAAACCTGATTCTGTTATTTGTTTTTTACATTTAAGGATCAGATTAGTAAAGCAAGAAATAAAAGTAATAAATGAATTGTGCTTTTTTGTCCTCCTCTTCAGGGCCTGGAGTGGAAATCAAAGATGTCAAAGTAGACTTCCTGGGAATGAATGTGGATGGTGCTGCTGCAGTAGCTGGTCAGTGGATCCTGCTGGTTCTTGGTCTGGTCCTCCTAGTGGCCACCATCCTACTAGCATACAAATACAGAAAGTCAAAAAGGCCTGAGAAGTCCTTATCAACTATGGAGCTGAAGCAGAAGGACTAGAGAGGTTCAAAAGCCGACCAAAGCAACAAGGACTAACTAGCCGACACAGAATCAACCTCATTGTGGTCATCCAAGTACATTTTGACTGTTCTGAATCAGAATTGTATTTGTGTTTTTTATTTTGTGTTTAAATGTTGCTGGAAGGTGAATCTGTATAATAGAAAAATCCCAAACATGCAGCATTATAGAATGTTTCTTTACTGCAGAATAACCAAATGTTTCTATAGGGTGAAAGGTTTAGTAACACTTGACACTGTTTAAGTATTCATAGAGAATATTTAAGTAGAAGATGCTATTTCACTGTAATCTCAGCCACTCTGTTCTATATTTTTAATGACTAACTATTAAAGTATAATAAATATATCTATAGATATATCTAATTTCAAAGTCCCATTGAGGACAATGTTTTTAACAAGTGTGTCATGATGCCAAATAATTTTTATTCAAATAGTTTTAAGTTGGTGTTTTGTTCATTTTCGGTTTAAATAATTTTTAGAATGTTCTAATTTTCATCCTATATGTAATATTTTGGTCCACTTTTGATTTCCAGAGATATTTTATTTCTGGATTTTCATGATTAACTACCTGAGGTGCTGTATGTTTTAAAATTTGTACAAAAATGACTTACTGCTGTTATTAGTTGTTTATTTTTTTTTACTCGTGTTATGAAATACACTGATCTGACCAGACCTGTGACCGAGTGCATATTTGTTCATGTAAAGGAGATATTGGGTGTTAGAATTGTTTATTTCGTCGTTTAACAACCAGACGAGATCCTTTCAAAATAAGAGCACCTGCTGACGCCGTCGATTGGTACCGGGGTCGACCCTTCAGACGGGCTTTGAAACGCTGCGACCGCTGCGCCGACAGCTCCAGCGCACATCCGAGGTCTCCAGACCTGGCATTTCCTGATCTACCTGGGAGGCCCCCCACTGGGTACGTACACGGCAAAATAGCGGCTCATGTCATCACTTTATAAGCCTCGTGATATCTAGTCATAACAAAGACTACCAGATTCAATGACGTCAGCCTAAGGAGTCTGAACCAACCACACACACACACACGCACCAACACAACATCCAAATCCATTTTCATCCATCACAGAGTTAGTCCTGGTAGATTGTTTAGAATTTATAATTAAGAAATTAAAGATTCTCAAACGATCCCAACTCTCTCTCTTTTCTTGTCTCAAAGTCAATACAGAGTGTTTAATTAAACTCCCTGATGATAAAAACAGCCTATTCTTCTGACTAAAAATAAGTGATCTACTTACAGTGTATTAAAATACAACTCTAGATAGTTACATCACTTCAATTCCGTTACACTACCTTTGACATAACACCACAATGTGCAAAGTGGATTTTGTCCTCGCTGTGGAACTCTGGACCAGTTTTATACCATTAGCAGAGTCCTGGCGGGTGTTTGGGAGATCACCCAACCAATCTGTTTTGTGGACTTGGAGATGGTGTTCGACTGTGTTTCTCGTGGGGCCCTGTGGAGTGTACTTTGGGAATATGGGGTACCAGGCCCCTTGATACGGGTTGTTAGGTTGTACGATAGGTGCCAGAGCTTGGTCCACATTGCCAGCAGTACGTCAAGCTTGTTTCCAGAAAGAGCATGACTTCAAGGCTGCCCTTGGGTACCCCCCAAAAAAAGTAATTCAGCATATTACAATGAAAAAGTTGAGGAAGTGTACTTTGAAAAATTGAAATACACTGTCTGTATGTAGTGTGTGCACTGCAGCGTATCAGTGTGGCTCAGAGAGGGCTGGAGCTCTCCCTCCAGTGAATGGTTCAGGGTTCAGAGCAAAGTTTAGGCGTCTGTAGTAGCAAGGCTGCATCTCGGTCCAGCTTGTAATACACAACTTTTTATGTGGCTCCTTAGGCTGAAATCCTCAATTGAACTGATATCGTTCAGCCCTGTGAAATTTTACCCCCTGGTGCTTGGGCATTATCCGGTAGTAGATGGATCGCTTGAAGAATCCAAGCTGGAGGGAAAACAGAAGAAAAGTGATTGTATGGAGGGGAAAAAACTGCTGAAGACACGGAATTAATGACAGAGGAGAGTTAGGCTGTGGAAAACACGTTGGACCACAGGGAAAGAACAGGGGCCTCATTAATAAAACTTTCCTTATTAAAACTCTACTTAAGCTCAGCTAAAATGTTACTAATTTTCTAACTTTTTCTAACTACAATCTTTCCAACCTATTAAACACTGCTTACAAACAGCTGCATTCCTGATTTAAAAACCACATTTTCCCTAGAAATGTGTTCAGCTGTTTTAGTTTAATGAAATCAGTCTGGATATTAATGGATAAACATTTTTCATGGTAAAGAAGTGCATGAATCTACCGTTAACCACAGTTAACTACTAACATGTTGTAATTATACATCAAAGGCTCAGTTGTCCATCTTGATGGTTGGTTTATCTGTGATGAGTTTTGGTGTGGCCTGACCTTGGATGACGAGAACATCAGAATATAGTCCAGATAACACGAAAAGATCAAAAGATCAAAGAAACTAGGTATGACCTGATGAAGTTGGACTGTGTGTGTGTGTGTGTGTGTGTGTGTGTGTGTGTGTGTGTGTGTGTGTGTGTGTGTGTGTGTGTGTGTGTGTGTGTGTGTGTGTGTGTGTGTGTGTGTGTGTGTGTGTGTGTGTGTGTGTGACATTGGCATCAGCTTTCAATGATTTAGACTCAACTTTTAATTGAGACATAAGCAAGTAGAGATTCTTAAGTCATTTATTTTGAAAAAGGGTATATTTGTTTTTTCTGCCTCGTTGACTGATCTCCTTAGTGATGAATACGTCACGTTATTCGTGGCTCTGATTAGTTTCAGCGCTGTCCAGTTGTGTGTGGACAGTTAACTATACAACTTTTTCATATTTTAAAATCATTTTCTCAAGCCAGTATGTGCTGGATTACCCTTTACTGGGTTAATGAAATGTCACTCAGACCCCACCACCCCCTGTATGGAATACCGCACTTACAACTTCAGACTGGCGGGCCACTCTGCTGGGACTTTGAGCTGACGTGCCTGTGCTGCAGTCCAGCACGTTTCCTGCATGTCTTCGATCATGAACACAGCTGATTTGTTTAATTTAGTGATGAGTCACTCTTGTAGACACTAAGGAAGGCTGGGGAGACATTTCATCATTTAGATTAATGTGTTAAAACGACAAATGCACAGCAAGGTGGATTTGCGTTGTGTTTGACCACACTTAATAACAGACACCAGGGGATGGTAAAAGCAAGCAAAACAGCCAAGTGAGTCTTTGAAACGCAACTGTAAATGAATTTACTTTAATAGGGGGACTTGCCAGGCTAGCTGATCAATGCCTTTCAGCTAAAACAGCTTCAACCATTCTGGAAAGATGTTAGGAGTGCGTTTTAGAGAATTTTTATCCATTGCTTCAGAAACCAAGGCTAGTTACTGATTATAAGGCCTGGCCCACAGTTTCTGCTCTAATTCATCCCACAGATTTCCTATCAGGCTTGCTCGTTTATATCAATGAAACACTTGAGTACTTTAATTTGAAGCTGCATCACCAATGAATATTTTCATTTATTTTTTTAACTAAAACCCCAGAAAAAAGTCATTTATAGTTGAAAAACAGTAGAGTTACAGTTTTTTTTTTGTCAAATATTGAGAACAACAAATTTGTTAGAGCTCAGAAGATGTGATGAGGATTACCCTCACCTATGAACACCAAACGTTCTGGTTCATTTTATGTATGAACAACTTAATGAATATTATAGCCTTGGCCATGTGGGAAGTGGCAGCTGCACTGAATGAGATATCATTTATGCTATTTCTGATTTGTAGTCTTTAATTACAATTTTTATACAAGCAAATGACAGACAGACAAAATACACATAATTAGTTCAAATGGAAGTCCAACATGTGTGTGATTCAGGGTGTAAGGTGAAGCAGACCAGAAAAAATATTTTATTGTCCCATTCACTTACATTGATTTTGGGGGATGTTTCAGGTCAGGGGACCCTCGAGGCGATCGGAAAGGGAGGACACTTATGCTCCATATATAATTCCACAAGAAGTTGAAATTTTCCATGTAAAATTATTTTGGTTTTAAGGTCATTTATGCTCCTTTAAGAATCCAGTTTTAAGGGATAACTTATAAAATATTCAAATGAGGGCGTTAAGCATCAGAGTTGCCTGAGGGGGATAATAAGCTCCTTTTGTTGTGGTATTTCCTGCAGACTGTGTAGGCATTTTATGAACTACTGGGAGAGAAAATCTGACATGAAAAACATCTATAACTCTGAGCTGATTGATGTTAATGACTTGTTGTTGTCCCTAAATATTTTACAATGCCTCAAACTGGAGTTGGCACATATTTTTATCCATTTTCCAACATAATTTTTTAAAAACACCAAATGACTTAGTGCCACAACCGATTATGCCTATGGAGATAACACAACTAGTCTGTGCACATCTGCTTTAAATTAAGTAAAATGAAAGGTCTTGCCCTGATTTTCACCAACAGGTTTTATCCAAGTTGTGAGCAGTGGTGTTGCTGCCTGTGACTCCACATTAAGGTGCTGCATAGCTGCATTGCTATGATCTTCTCCTGCTTGTTGTTTAGCATGCCTAGATTTGCTCTTAGACAACTGGAAGACAGAAGAAATGAAAACCAAAAAGAGGAAGACGTCAGGCGTTACATCATAGAACAAGTGGTAATTGCTGGTTTTGATAAAGACTTTACCAAATTCTTCTAGGAATAGACGTGCCCTTTCTCCTTTCCATACATAGGCTGAACACATTCTATTTTAAGGTTTCTGAGGTTAGCATGTGGTAACAGACCCGTTTTTTTTCAGAGTGTATTTCTGACCAGTGGTTTGACACTGGGTCCATTATAGCATCACTTACCACTGGTTCAGTTCACACTAATGTCACAAAGAGTTACCACCCATGTACTCAGAGTCAGTCGGGTTCATGTAAGTTTAGCTCTGTTTGATTTGAAAATATTTTAAGGAATTGTCAACAAATTAGCTTTTTTTTAAATTAAAGCTTTTTTTGAGTTATTACAGTAAACTTAGAGCATGACTCAGCCTTTATGCTAATGACTATGTTTCAAAAGCAGCAATTTGGTCATATTTTAAAATATAAACGAACTGGTGTTATAGTTTACCTCCTGATCACTTGTTCACAAATCTGGCCTATAGGCTGTTGCGTTAGTGTGGTGGATGTTAGCATTACCTCAAACCACTCCTGATATTAGCTTCCAGGAACCGCTAGGACATAGGTTAACCCCTTGTTATTGGATTTTATTTTAGTTTTGGTTTAAAATTGAGACCAGGATTTTTAAAGTCAACTCATTCCAATGACCAAATAATATTATGTTTAATATTTGCTCTAACAATAATTGGAGGCCACAACTTAGGAAATGATATTCAGAAATCCCTCAAACTGTAAAAAACTAACCATTAATAGGATAGTTTCACCATAATTGTTACAAGAGTTGAATAAGTACGGGTGTCTAGTTATTACCTGTAATTAATTAGTTACAGCCATATTTAGTGGGTTATTCTAATTCTCGCGCTGCTCTGGGAGGCTGCATGTTTGAGTAGCTCTGTTAACTACATGTAAGTCTTGCCCTTTTTGGACATTTGATCTTCTAGCATCTCAAGAATAACAGTATTTTTTTTTTATCTTTTACTTTTCTGT